CTGCAATGCAATGCTGTAGCTAGTAAAGCAACCAAAACGCTGGCTTGCATCTATAGATGCTTCTCAAGTAAATCCTGGGATGTCATTCTCCCCTTGTACTCGGCCTTGGTGAGGCTGCAGTTGGAGTACTGCGTCCAGTTTTGGGCTCTACAATTCAAAAAGGGTGTGGAGAAGCTTGAGAGAGTCCAGAGAAGAGCCACGCGCATGATCAGAGGTCAGGAAAACAGACCTTAGATGACAGGCTGAGAGCCATGAGGCTCTTTAGTCTGGAAAAGCACAGGCTCAGGGGCGATCTGATGGCCGCCTATAAGTTTATCAGGGGTGACCACCAGGATCTGGGGGAATGTTTGTTCACCAGAGCGCCCCAAGGGATGACGAGGTCGAACGGTCATAAACTACTACAAGACCACTTCAGGCTGGACATAAGGAAGAATTTCTTTACTGTGTGAGCCCCCAAGGTCTGAAACAGCCTGCCATTGGAGGTGGTTCAAGCACCTGCATTGAACACCTTCAGGAGCAAATTGGATGCTTATGTTGCTGGGATCCTATGACCCCAGCTGGCTTCCTGCCCTTTGGGCAGGGGCCTGGACTTGATGATCTTCTGAGGTCCCTTCCAGCCCTAATGTCTATGAAATCTATGAAAGTGGGTCTGTAGTCCCCCAGGTCCTCCTTTTTGCCTTTTTTTAAGGGCATTGTGTTGGCCCTTTTCCTGTTTTCTTACTTAAGCATTTATGAGGCCTATGCCTATGACACCTAGGGCAGCTACTGGTAGGCTCTAGATCTCTCTTAAATCACCTTGCAGTGTAAACACTATTAGTATATAATAGGGGCAAGTTACTGAAGCTATTGTGGTTCTTTGAGTAGATGTGATATCTTTTATTAGACGAACTGAGTAGTTGGAAAAAAATTCTTAGTAAGCTATCGGGCACAGTCATCCTTCAGGTATAGGGAGTCTCTGCTGGTCTGAGACTCCAAGGAATGAGAGAAGATAAAAGTGTGGCAGGATGTCAGCGAGAATGTAAATAGGTAGGAATTAGAAAGACTAAAGGTAAAGCAGGGAAGGGAAGGGGGGAAGAAAGCAGAGGAAAAAAGGCCAAAGGGAGAAATTACAGCAATAGCCTCTTTTCTGCCTTGTATTCTATCTGTGAAAAAGGAAATAGTTGGAGATCAGGAAAACAGGAATGAGAGAAGCTAAAAGTGTGACAGGATGTCAGTGAAAATATAAATAGATAGAAATTAGAAAAACAAAAGGCAAAACAGGGAAGGGAGAGGGAAGAAGAGGGGGAAAGCCAAAGGGAAACACTACAGTGGTAATAATATAAGGTAAAGAAAGAGGCTCTCAATGAAAAAGGAAATAGTTGGAGATCAGGAAAACAGGAATGAGAGAAGCTAAAAGTGTGACAGGATGTCAGTGAAAATATAAATAGATAGAAATTAGAAAAACAAAAGGCAAAACAGGGAAGGGAGAGGGAAGAAGAGGGGGAAAGCCAAAGGGAAACACTACAGTGGTAATAATATAAGGTAAAGAAAGAGGCTCTCAATGAAAAAGGAAATAGTTGGAAATCAGTAAGACAAAGGGTAGAAAAGTAGGGGAGGGGACAGAAGAAAAGGTGGGGAAAAAGAAAAATGTAAGCGGTCAGGTCAGGCAGGTACCTGGTGAATCGCATGTCATGCAGGTTGTAAGGTGTCATAAATCCAGTGTCTATACTGAGTCCACGATGTTTTGTATCCAGTAGATTTGTGAAGTGAAGTTTGTAGACTCGTCCACAAAAGATGTTTTGTAAGTTCCTTTTGAGGATTAGAATTGAGAGATTGGTGCAGGGGTGATTGTCCTGTGACGTGCATGTCCCCACAGGTAGTTGGGTATTCTTGCCTTTGTTCTTTGTGTTTGTGAAATATAGATCCTGATATGGTAATACTTTATTTCTTTTGTCTTAAATAGGAACGTCCAGATGATCCATGGGGCAAACTGCCTGTTAATATCTATTTTGATGGAGTATCACTTTCTTCTTTTATGGCATTCCACAAACACTGTGTCCTTGAAGATGATCAGACTGGACTAGGACTGGTAGGTAAAATCCAATTTTAGTTTTTGCTGGTTTAATGTATGTAAAAGAGGATCAGCTGGTTGGTTTTCTGCATGTTGTTGTCATTATTGTCTTGTTATAATTCTTTATCTAGTCTTACAGATTTATATGTTATTAAGATAAGAAATTATAAACATTACTATGACCAGAATTCATTGCCAGTAGACCAGAACATTTCTAGAGAATTATGAATTGTTTTTCTTTATAATTCATCCTGTGTAAGAACAGTGGTTAGTAAACTGAAAATGAATGTCATCATTAGTGAGTTAATTTTCCTAAAACAGATACAAAAAGGTGTCTCAAAGAACCGTCATGAAAAAAGTTTAGCCCAGGGGTTGGCAACCCCCAGCCCATGTGCCAGAGCGTGGCACATGAAAACATTTTGCTTGGCACATGCTCTTTAGAGCAGATGGCAGGGAAGGGGCTAGGGCTGCATTGCAATAACAAGGATCAGGCCCCTTGCAGCTTCCCCACTCTCTGCCCCAAGATGCTTATGCGCCTGCTGCCGGCAACAAGCCAGGCTGGGGCTCTGGAGACCCGGGTGCAGCTTCTGCACTGCCTGCTGCAAGCAACCTGGGCTCTATGGCAGGTGGCAGGGGCCTGCCCAGAGCCCAGGCCAGCTGTGGCAAGCAGCTAGGAGGCTGCAAGTGGCTGCACTTTGATCCACGGAGCCCCAACCCAGCTCATTGCCAGCGGTGAATACACACACACCTCAGGGCAAACAGCAGGGGAGCTGCAAGAAGCCCAATCCTTGTTATGGCAACGCAGCCCTGGCCTCTTCCCCACTGTCCAGCCCGAGATTCACATGTACCTGCTGCCAGCAGTGAGCTGGGCTGGGGCTCTGGATCCTGGTATAGCCATTTGCAGCCTCTCAGCTGCCTGCCACAGCCAGGCCAGGGCTCTGGGCAGGCCCCTGAGCTCATCCCTGGCACACCAACATCTTACTTATATAACTGACTTTGGAGATGCACCAAAAGAGATAACTAAATAGAAATTTGACTGAAACTTGATATAGCACAATGTAGTGCTGTGAAGAAAAAATTAGTTAGCTGTATTGAGCACTGTGCTAAAATGTCTTTGCTGCTTCCAATGTCTCAGCTAGCTGGGAGATCTCTGCACTCCACACTGCCATGTATACATACCCAAAGTGTGTTGGAAAGTTTTGAAGGAAGGCTTCAATAGACTTTTGGAGAAAAGCTGTTGTGAAATAACTGGCCAAGGGAAACATTCTGAGAGAAGCAATAGTCTCATGTAAGCAAGACCCTGGGGTTGTACTGGTCTTTGCACCAGTGGACAGACAGCTTACACTTGGAAAAAACTGTGTTTAAGATGTAAACAAAAGCTTGTCCATCCTTACCGGAAAACAGTGCCTTGTTTATGTACGGCTTTCCTTCCTTGTAATGAAATTGGCCTGATTCTGTAGTTCTGTCAGGCAAAATTTGCCATTTCAACTCATTGAGAATTTTGCCCTATTGCAAACTGCAAAATCAGACTCAAAAGCCTACATTCATTTTGAGCATGTGCTTAACTCCTGTTGATTTTATTCCCATCCCCATGAATTGAGGTCTATAATGGGAACTAAAGAAATGCTGCCTTATTATATAGTAAGTATAAATTATCTCTGCATATTTCAAATATTTCTAAAGAACCTGTTACAAACAGTGGTATATATGCTACTTTTGTTATAGGAAGTCATAAATTGCAGTGAAAAGTGTTTGGAGGACAACTTTGAAATCAGCTTTGAAGTAAGTTTCAGTGTTCAATTTCTGTGTTTCATTTTTGTGGACTTATCCTTATCTCAAAACATAATTAGCTTACCTAATAATGTGGGCTAGGTCATCTACAGTTGTTTCATTCAGATCCCTTCTAAGGACTTGCTTCTTTCTTGAACTCTACAATGGGGTGAAGTAGAAATATTTAACTTAAAGAAAAAAAATCCCCTTAACTTTTCTTTAAGCTATCAACATATCTCAACCATAAATTTTTTGCAGCAGGAACTCTTGATAATTTTCTTGTGTAATACCAAGTCTCGTTACTCACATAATAAATGTTCAGATATGTTCAAGGATAGATCTTACATAGGTGCATATGTACCTCATGCATAAGATATCAGAAAGATGGATGCATATGTATATATCTTCTGTCTGGGAGATTCCCCTAGCATATGTTTGGTCATCTCAACAAGCTCCACAAGGGCACATAAATTGTGAGGGTAAAATTCCATCTTCTGCAACAGTTATGAAACTGAGGAAAGTAACTTGAATTCAGTTTAAATGCAAAACATCTTCATTCAGTATCCCATCCAGTTTGCAAGCAACGCTAAAGATCAGTGTTGCCTTTCTTAATACACTCAGATGATTGATATTAAATTAGAGTATATGGAGTGTTAATCATTGGGGTTGCCAGCCCTATGATAGATCATATTTATTTGCATACTACATGCACCTTTCCCCCCAAAATCAGTCCTCCATATTTGAGGGATGTTTTATTAAGTGAGGAGACTAATTTCTGCACTGAAATGGAGGCATGAGGAAGCTTGAATGGCTGCCTGGGGTTTTGGTCCCTTCCTGACTGCATGTGGGAAGGGCAGAATCCAGTCCTCAGTGGCACTTATCCTCTCTTTGTAACTGCACATAGACAGGTTTAACCCTGTCACACCTTTGCTAAATTGCCCCTTTGTAGCATCATGGAAGCCCATCTCTTTAGGGCAGAAATTTCCAGCTCCCACTGCAACTCCTATTTGACTCTGAGGTCCCTGGCAGATGGTACACTTAAGATTTGATTAACAAGTTAATCATGTCTTGAGTACCATATTTACTCAAATATAAAATGACCCTGATTATAAGACATCACGACACGGGGTCCCTAGGGATGTCCATGATGTTCCTAGGGCTCTGTGACCGTGCCTGCTCCACCCAAGGGTGCCTTCTAGTCTCGCCTGCCACACATTCTTGGCAAAATAGTAAGTAGGGAGGCTGCCCACAAGTTTGTGTAGCCACGGTCCTGTTGAACCCTACTAGACCCAATAGGTTCTTGTGCTCCTTGCTGTGTCTCAACCAAGTCATTGCCTCACGAGACACCATAAGCCTTATGGGCTAATTGCATGGCTCTAAACCTCTCCATATTATGCCCCATGCTTCACAGATGTTATACAAATGTTGTCACCTCTGTTGGGGACCTACTTGGCCATGGCCTCTTTAATATGGCTGGGCCTTCTAGCCTAGGCCCACTTGGTGCTAGCTCTCCGTTGTGCCCCTCTGGCGCCAGGCTCTCTGGCCCCTTATATGCTCTATGCTTTGTATGGACCCTCCCTGTACAGGCTGTGTAGCAACTCAAGCACCAAGCCAGCTGCTGACCTGGCCCAAGTCAATCGCATGCCTCCTTTGGGCACTGAGGCCTCCATATCTCCCCTCACAGCCTCATCCCAAACTACCAGTTCAAATGATAACGCAGACATCAGGCCCTGGGCTATAACTTATCAATAATGATGGGGTCACGCTCTGCCCCTTTAAAAAGACAAACTTCTCCCCTAGTCTAGTGTGCTACTCTACACATGGTACCTTATAAGTCCTGCAGGCACAAACCAGACAACCATACATCTAAGGGCAGCTCTTTCATGCAGCAGCTCCTTCCTCTGGTGGTTGCCAGAGAATTGACCTCTGCCAGCCCCAGCTGAGAGACTTGTATGTGCCCAGGGCTCTGCCTCCTGCCGGTCAGCTGACTGCATGCAGGTGCCGACTAATTCCCTCATTAGCCTGCTGCTCAGGCAACCTACAGGGCTCTCTGGCTAGGCTGTTTCTGCCCTTAAAGGATCAGGCACGTCTTAGTGCCCTGGGACATAAGACAGCCCCCCAATTATTCAATTCTATATATGGAAAATTGATACATTTGCTATAGTTTTCCAAGTATAGAAACTTATTATTGTAGGTTTGTATTGAATTTGTCAACCTTCCACTGCTACAGCAGGGATTAAAATCTGGGGGGGTCATGTAGCTCCTGCCTCCTCCTTACTGTCACTGCTACACTACTATGCTCCCCAAGTACATGGAAGTGAGGAACAAAACTGGAAAAACTGATCTTGAAATAAACATAGCTGTATTAATTTGTATATAGTACCCATAGATGTAGTTCTTCCAGAATTGATGCATTTTTGAAGCTGTTGCAAATTTTTTAGCACATTCTCCATAAACCCCCCTTTAAAAGCACCTCTATTTACATATAATACAGACTTTAGGAAGGCATTTGACACAGGCTGTCACCCCACCCTCATTAAATAATTAGGTGGCTGTGGTGTCAATGCCTACACAGTCAGATGGGTCACAAATTGGCTGGAGGGCCACACCCAGAAAGTGATGGTGGACAGGTCGTTTCGACCTGGAGGGACATGAGCAGTGCGGTCCCCAGAACTTGGTCCTCGGGCCGGCACTATTCAAGATCTTCATTGGCGACTTGGACGAGGTAGTGAAAGCACCTTGTTCAAGTTCGCAGATGACACCAAGATGTGGGGAGAAGTGAGCACACTAGAAGAGAGAAACAGGCTACAGCTAGATCTGGACAGGTTACAGAGGTGGGCAGATGAGAATAGGATGGGTTTTAATACGAACAAATGCAAGGTATTGCACCTAGGGAGGAAAAGCCAGCAGCATACCTACGGGCTGGGGAATTGCCGCCTTGTCAGTGCAGAGGCAGAAAAGGATCTTGGAGTCACTATTGATTCCGTGATGAACATGGGCCTCCAATGTGGGGATGTGGTCAAGAAGGCTAACCACACCTTGTCATGCATCCATAGATGCATCATGAGCAGGCCCAGGTAGGTGATCCTCCCCCTCTGTGTGACATTGGTCAGTCCGCAGCTGGAGTACTGCATCCAGTTCTGGGCGCCGCACTTCAGGAGAGATAGCATTGAGAGGGTCCAGAGGAGAGCCACTCAGATGATCAGGGGGCAGCAGGGTAGGCCCTATGAGGAGAGGCTACAGGACCTGAACCTATTCAGCCTCCACAAGAGAAGGCTGAGAGGGGATCTGGTGGCCATCTATAAACTTGCCAAGGGGGACCAGCAGGCAATGGGAGAGTCCCTTTTCCCCCGAGCACTACTGGGAGTAACAAGGAATAGCGGCCATAAGTTGACTGAGAGTAGATTCAGGCTAGACAACAAGAGGCACTACTTCACAGTCAGGGTGGCTAGGAGCTGGAACCAACTTCCAAGGGAAGTGGTGCTCACCCCTACCCTGGGAGTCTTCAAAAGGAAGCTAGACAGTCACCTAGCCAGGGTCATTTGACCCCAGCATCCTTTCCTGCCCATGGCAAGGAGTCGGACTTGATGATCTGCTCAGGTCCGTTCCAGCCCTACCAGCTATGAAACTGTGGTCACATCTACACATGCATTAAGGAATTTTTTGTAACGCACATTAAATTTTGTACCTCCAATGTGAGATACTAAAATGAGCATTAGGCTCCCTTAATGTGCAGCAATGAATGAGCACGGTTTTTAAGTGCGCAGTAATCTATTTTACTGTGCATTAGCGTAATTGTGCATTTTTTACATGACGCTTTAATGTGCAGTAAAATAGTCTACTGCGCATTAAAGTGCATGTGTAGACACACCCACTATACATGATACTGGTCCAAAGCCAAAAGGCATGTTATTTACCACATAATTCATTGGGCTGAATCTCAGCAGAGCAGAGTCAACAGCATTTCAAGCCACAGTAACCCCACAGTGCAGCATTGCTCAGTATGTGTGTGTATTGCAGATGCCCCCCACAAAGGATCCATGCGCTAATTAGCCCCATTCATGACTGAAACCAGGTGTTCTTGTCATAAGTACTAGGTTCTTTCAGAATCTATGTTCAGATGAGGCATAGAGCAGTCTGGTCTGGTTTCACGTCATAGAGGTAGGGGCCGCACTAATCCTATGTGACAGGATGAGAGAGGGGATACCAGAGAGATTCTGGGTGAACTGTTTGGGGCCCTGTTTGGTGATGTTTGCTAGACATTTAAGGCTGGTGAAGAAACAGGAATCATTGGAAATGGGAAAGAAAGGTACAGCTCACTTGTGGGAGTGAAGAGGAAGTAAAAATGTATACAATGTAGTGGCTTACCATGACTTTAAAAAGTAATCACTGAGGGGAACTGCACTCAGTGGGCACTAACATATATCATTCAGATGGATTGCACTAACCTATCCTTGTGGCAGGTTCCCATCAGCATGTTTGCCCCATATGAGCCATGTACTTTATAGTCATGCTTATTGTTGGCTGCATTTCATTAATTTTATAGTTGGCTTTCATTACTAAGCACATGCTGCTTTACAATGTGTTTAATGTGGTTTCCTTGTATGTGACTGAGAGACGAAGGGCTTTTTCTCCCATGTTCGTTGGGGATGAGCTCATCTTATATTCAAGTAAATATGGTAGTAACCTGGCCACATGTTCACACAATTAGTGGCATGATAAAACAGAGAATAAACCACAAAGTAATTACCATATTTCACAGTGTATAATTCGAAGTTTGAAACCAACATATTTACCCTTAAATTTCCACCTCGACTTAAACACCTTGTGTTTCAAAGTTTGTTAGTCTTCAGCCAGACCCCATGCCAGCGCTCTTCCACACCCAGCCTATGGGGAGGTGGCGTGCTGGTGTCTGTGCACTTCCCCAGTACTGAGGCCAGGCCGGGCTCCTGCCTCCCCCTTCCCAATACCCTGGAGCTGGGCGCCCAAACCCCACACCCATCAAATCTGGCCCAGAGACACTTACCTGCAGCCCAGTGGCTGCCCTGTGGGTAGATCTTGGCCAGCAGGGTGGAGCCGCTGCCAGCTGCACCAGGGTGCAGAGTGGCAGCAGTGAGTGGTGCTTGCCAGGCAGGTGTCACTCGCAGCCCCCATACTGAGCTCAACTGCTGTCCACCTGGCTGCAGCTCATGGTCTCAGGCTGTAACGGCCACCACTGACCCACATTTATACGGCACTGGGATGAGGTGACAGCCAAGCTGAAATGCCCGGCGCCTCCCCTGGAGATGGTTCTGGCAAGGCAGGGTTGATTTATACACTGGGTCTGCAAAAATCCCAACTTTTTGATTAAAAAATATGGGGTTGATTTATACACTGAGTAGACATGTATACCGTAAAATATGGTACACAAAATATGTGTAATCACTTTGTGACCAGTATCCATTGCATCTTAACTTGAATTTAGGGCCAGGCCAATCAACTGATGGCCGCTACCAGCATAGAACCCTTGCGCCTCCAAGCATGGGAGCACCCATCACCTGACTGGCACCCCAAGCGAGGCGCACCTGGCACCTCGTTTGCTACTTACCAGTGCAGGGAAAGATCAGGATTGTGATCCTGGGTTTCTCTTGCACTGGCAATAGAGTGTGTTTGGGATCTGATCCCACAATTACACCTTCTGCCATGCATGTGTAGTACAGCAGGAGATGTGATTGTTGGGATCACGGATTAGATCTGAAAATCTGCTGGGGTCTGATAAGGTGATATTCACTTACAGTCCTAAACGTTTGCTGTGCACAGTTAAATATAATTATACTCCATCTTACATAACTTTTTTTTTTAATCTCACAGGAATGCTCTAGGGCTTTAAATTACTTTAAAGCCTTCTGCAGTCCTTGCAGATGGATCACTCTCTTTAGTTTCAAATTAAGTACTTGTTTTTAGTAGGTGGGAGGGTTAATATTTTCAACTATTTAGAATGATCTGATTATGTTCTTTAAGTGTTTATATCCCTTTTTTCAAATCTTTGGGAATTGACTAGTTTTGTTCCTAAGTCCTTATCTAGTTAAAAATATCTCATGAGGAAAACAGAACCACAGGAATTATTTTTGTTTCTTTGTCAAGGATTTTTTTAACCTTATTTGAATTTGCCAGTTAAACCCTTCCTTTAATCAGAAGTCACAGCATTGAAGACTTCCAATGTAGTTAATGAAACAGCTGTAACTAAACCCTGCCTTGTTCTAGGAGCTGTTACTTGAAGTAAAGACTCCGGTTTTGCCACCGTATACTTTGCCATCACTACCTCTTCCGAGAGAATGCTTTCCTGTTAAAGTTAAGCACCTTGTTTCACCTAATGAGGTAATGTGTAATGGTCATTACTAAAGTATGTCTGTGACTATACAACTTTGTGGATACTGTCAGAAAAATCAGTGTCAGTACAGAGGTATTTCAGCTTACAATGGACCATTTAAATTTCTATGAATAACTGATGTAACTACAGGTGCCAGTGTGGAGGTAATGCAAATTTGAATGTCATTCCTGATCTTTAAGAAAAAAAATGCAGGTCTGCTTGCACAAACAGTTTTTATCAAAATGTTTGAATCCTGCAACCTCTTTTAAAAAGTCATGATTTCATTCATTTGGTGCAATGGCAGAGTTTTGCCCAAGACTCACCATGTTGTCCTCAGCCTAAAATTTCATGTCAGTTCATACAAAATAAAATATCTTTTAAGCTGTTCACAAATTTAAATACAATAGGCCTTTATTAAAAGGCTGGATTTGACATGTAGCTCTTAAGTCAAATTACACTGAAGTGTAAAGCCAAAACCTGGGATCCATATGACTCTGGTTTTTGGCATTCAAAAATCCAGATACACTTCTTTAAGGGATAGCACGTGTTGTTCATCCTTTGTGGGTGAAGACAACCACATCCAGCGGGGAGAGGGGAGAGAAGAAGAGGGAAAAGAAGTGGGAAAGGAAAAGGGAAGGAGAAAAGAAAAAAGGGGAAAGAAGGAAAAGGAGAAAAAAAAAGGGAAAGGAAGGAGAACAAAGGAGGGTGGGGGCTAGGTGACATGAGTACATAGGTGTCTTATAAATCCAGTCTTTGCTTTGAACAATCTGCTGCAGCAGGGGCAGGAGAGTGATGAGGACTGGATACAGAAGGTTTTCAGTTCCCTGGCCGTGCATTTCTTCATTGCTTCTGCCACGCGTTGGTGTTCAAAAGCCAGTGCTCCATTCTGGATTTGGGACCTCCAAGATGGACGGTCGTGAGCAATTTGCTCCCATGACTCTGGCTCAATGCCAAAACTCTTTAGGGACACCTTTAGGGTGTCCTTGTACTGCTTCTTTCATGCGCTGTGAAAGTGTACTCCATTTGACAGTTCACCAAAAAATACTTCCTTTGGCAGACACGTCAGGCATTCTTGAGAGGTGGCCGGCCCATCTTAGCTATGCCAGTTTCAGCAGGGAGTGAATACTGGGGAGTTGATCTTCTGGGCACCTCAGTGTCCGGAATCTTGTCCTGCCATTTGATCTTTAGTATCTTTCTCAGGCAGCACAGGTGGAAGTGGTTTAGTTTCTTAGCATGACACTGCTAAATGGTTCAGGTTTCACAGGCATAAAGGAGGGTTGGAAGGATGGTGGCTTTGTAAACCTTCAGTTTTGTCGACATTCTGATGCCTCTGTGGTCCCAGACTGACTTATGGAGTCTGCCAAAGGCCACTCTAGCTTTCGCTCATCTCTCATTGACTTTGTCATCAATGTGGACAGCACGGGAGAGAGTGCTGCCTAGATAGGCAGTACCTGTCTAGGGATGGTAGAGGAGGAGGAAATAGGTATTTGTATGGATATTTTCTCACTGTTTTTTCTATTATTATTGGAAAATGCCCATTTGAATCCAAAACACTAGAAATTTGAAAGCAGGGCTCTGACATAATTTGTCGTGGTTTCTGTCCAGCTTACCGTGTGAGGTGTTTCCTGCCTCTGGCTGCAGTGCTGACCCACCACTGATCTGGGAACCCAAATCTTACCAGGTCATTACAGTAGAGCTAAAGGTCTTGATAGAACAAGGAGCAGTGGTCTCAAATTGCAGCAAGGGAAGTTTAGGTTAGATATCAGGAAACATTTTTTCCCTAGGAGGGTGGTAAAACACTAGAACAGGCTACCCAGAGAGGTGGTAGAATCTTCATCCTTGGAGGTTTTTAAGACTCAGCTAGACAAAGCTTTGGCTGGGATGATCTAGTTGGGGACAGGCCTGCTTTGAGAAGGGCGTTGGACTAGATGACCTCCTGAGGTCCCGTCCAACTAATTTTCTGTGATTCTGTGAAGCCTCAACTTCATGCAGAGTTCTTACTGCTTTTGAGCTTCTAGCTTCATGATGAAGGCTTAGTGCATGATTTCCACTCCAGTGAAGTAGATCAAGGAGATACTTTGCAACAATATAGGGTGGTGTCCATCTGTCACACTGCTTCTGCAGCCCTTTCCATGTGTTCTGAGCCCACCATCACAGTGATGAATCAAAAGTATGCCATTCTTAAGGGACAACCCGTATGGCCCTTGGGTTTGCAGTGCAAGAACATTTGCTTTGTACAGTACTACCATATTATTGGGATTCTAGATCAGTCCCACATACAAACCAAGTATGATTGTTATGGTTCTTTTTTGGGAAGGAGGAGGTTGATCTGTAAGCAGAACAATGCAGAAATACTGGAAGCAGGGATCAGCCAGAACCCAGCATTTTCTCCATGGAGTAAAGTCAGGCTCCCTCTTGTTTGCTCTTCTGGCCCCATGACTCTTTCCATCTTGGCTGACCAACAGGCCAGCTTCTAAAAAATGAAGCAGGGAGGGAAATAATCCAAGGAGCTCACAACTATGTCATCCTTACAGCTTGGGAGTTATGGTACTACATTAGAAACATAGGAGATGTGGGTTCAAACCTCTGGAGCGGGAGGGGGGCTGAGAAGGCTAAAATGCATGTAATTACAGTATGTCAGAGCAGACTCAACTAATTGAATACACTTCAGTTTACAGTGCCCCTGCTGCCAATTTGGAGCATGGGGACACTAATACACAAGATGCTACAGGTGCTTTAATTAAAGTGGGTCTTAGAGCTGCTCTAATTAAGGCATCCCCCACCCCTGGAGCATGTGTAAAATGTCCCATGTTTTCCCATGTCTTGTGCTCTAACCCCCACTAAGCTATTTCATAGAAGCAGAAAATTAGGGTTGAAAGGGACCCTAGGAGGTCATCTAGTCCAATCCCCTGCTCAAAGCAGGACTGTCCCCAACTAGATCATACCAGCCAAGGCTTCATCTAGCTGGATCTTAAAAATGCCCAAGAATGGAGACACATCACTTCTCTGAGTAACCTGTTCCAGTGTTTTACTTACTACCTTCCCAGTGAAAGAGTTTTTCCTAATATCTAACCTAAATGTCCTTGCTGCAACTTGAGACTGGTGCTCCTTGTTCTGTCATTTGCCACCACTGAGAACAGTCTAGCTCCTTCCTCTTTTGAACCCCCCTTGAGGTAGTTAAAGGCTGCTATCATATCCCCCCTCCAACTTCTCTCCTCTAGACTAAATAAGCCCAGTTCCCTCAGCCTCTTCTCAGAAGTCATTTGCCCCTACCCCTTAACCATAACTATATGAGGAAAATGATCTCAAGCATATGTTTTTTGGCTCTGATCAGAAGTTCTGCTAAGACACATGCCTCATGCAGTCATGGGGGAGTAAAATTTTGAGCAGCGGAAGCATTTAGCATAGTTTAAAATACCGTACTGAAATGAACAAAGCTTGGTTCTTTAGGGTATAACAGGGTATAGGCAGCAGCCAGGCAGCCTACAGCTGACTGTAATCCCAATCCAGCAGTGATGCTTGATTGGGAAACAAGGCCAGCTGTTGTATATAAGGGCTGGGTACCTGAACTGCCTTGCAGCAGTTTGCTGCTACCAGCTGAGGAGGCAACATCCAGCTGAGCTGATGCCTGAAACCTTGGAGGTAAGGGCCGGGGCTACAGGGAAGGAGGCTCCATGGTTCTGGGCATAACCTGAAACTCCACCCTGCTGGGGACAGGTGAACTGGTGGAGCTACCTGTGGTGGGGTAGCTCCCCAGAAATGCCAGGACAGTTACCCCCCCGGTGAAAGGTGAGTGGGGGTTCCTGAAAACCCCAGCCCCTACATCCCTGCTGGGTTAATCACAACAGGGACCTGAACATACGGAGCTGAGTGTTTAGGCACGAGAGAGGGATGGGGTTTGGAGCCTTAGTCCAGGAGTAGGACTAAGGCTGCAAGCGTAGTCAGTGGGCCTGGGGCCCTAGAGAGAGATGGAGGGACAGGGCTGACTTGGAGCCCGAGGGTGGCGCTTGGAGCCCCAGGATGGGAATTGGAGCGTTAGACATGGAGGTTGTAGGGGTCAAAGGGGTCTGTGGAGGCCAGGTATGTGCCACCAGACTAGGGCTGGGTATCAGGCCATGTTGAGCTGGAGGTCCAAGTGAGGCCCTGTGAAAGCAGAAAAGCCAAGTGAGGCCCCATTGAAGCAGGAAGGCCAGGTGACTAAACTAAAGCCAGGTGTCAGGCTGCACAAGCTGGAGGCCAAGTGCTAGGCTGAGCAGGCTTGGGGCCGGGTCTGAGCCCAGGAAACATCTGCGAGGCATGGGACATGTCAAAAAGAGGTCGGAGGCCCTTGTCATCAGGGCAGGTAAAGGGCAGCCTCCCACCTGATTAACATCTGACAATCAGGAACATCAAGGCATGTTAGGAGAGACAGGCAGGTGGGTAGCCCGGAAACCAGTGGGCGGGCCTATTTTGAGATCGGCCCTGGGACGCCCATGTGTTACATAGGGCAAAGTAAAGTTTACCTCTGGGAGTGATATTAGCTCAGGGGTGGGCAAAATGCAGCCTGTGGGCCATATGCAGGCCATTCTATCTGGCCCGCAGGGCCCCTAAAAAATTTAGTAAATTAATACTTATTTGCCCCTGGCTGCCTGTCATATGGCCCTTGATGGCTTGCCAAAATTCAGTAAGCAGCCCTCTACCCATAATAATTGCCTGCCCCATAATAGCTGCATGCTAGCTTCCCAATAATATAAGAAAACTTTTTGCTTCTACACATGCAAAGTACATGTCTCCTTGCTTCTAGTTCTGCAAGCTAGCACTTTGCCAGTATCTATGTATTAAATGCCTATTAAATGAAATGGTAGTGTTGGGGTAATGTTATAGCCAGGGATCCTGGTTTTCTCTGATTTAAAAAAATCTCCAATTTTTGGTTACAAAAAAAAGGTAATCCCAAATCCACATTGTTCGATGATTAAAATGAAACACACACACACACACACACACACACACACGCACACACACACACGTATATACTAGTAGTGTCTCATTTAAAATTTATGGAAAAACGTGGATTTGGGGTTACCTTTTTTTAACTGAAAATTGGGCATTATTTTAAAACAGAGAAAACCAGGATCCCTGGTTACAGCCATGATGATCCAAAGAAAAATGCAAGAGGAAAGGATTTTACTGGGTGATCTCTCTGATTGGACCAGCTGCATAGTCGGGAGGGATATAGACAAACCTTTGGTTACCAAGTATGTTTCCTCAGGTTTCACCTGAATTCAATTTAGAATTTAAACTAATGTATCTTAATGATGAACTTTTTTCAAGATGGAAGTCATTATCCTTTTAACATCACATTAAATTTGGAGTCAGTTTTGTTGTGATCAGTCTGCAGAATTGTAGTCTGTCTCTTAGAAAACTCTGTCCTTTGCCTTAGGTGTATATTTGCCTTGATTCAGTAGAGAGTATTGAAGAACAAAATGACACAGAAGATGGTAAAGTTGACTGGAACTCTGAAACTGAGAGCCTGGATAAAGTCCTGAGGAGGTGTAACAAAGATGTGGATTCTCTTCCTTTTCTAACAGATTTTAGAACAGGTAAGTATGAAAAGCTTGTATATTCTGCATCTAATTATGTATTTTACAGAAAGCATAAAATAGAAATCTCTCCTTTGGGAATGGGATTTCCCAAACAAGCTCACTTTTATTCTACCACTTTCCCATGGACTTAATGGAAGAGAAGTTTCCTACTCTGTTCCAGTAGAACAGGGCTGTCCTGAGGGGTTAACCTGCAGCTCTCAGCCCCCTCTGGGCTGGGTGCTGCTCCTTGCTCCTGTTGCTGTCTGGAGTCTCTGGGCTTCCCCTCCCTCCGCTAGCTTCTGCTTCATGCCCTCTTGTGTGTGTGGACAAGGAGAAGTAGGGCAGTTCACCCAGGGAATCTGTGGCTGGAGGCCTCAGTGGGGAACTCAGGGTCTCCACATAGTGTTGGTGCAGCACAGCAGGAGTTGCCTGCAGCACAGCACGCAGCCTGTGCAGCATGTGGCCAAGGAGCCTGCAGCTTTTCTCTACTCATGCTCTTTAATGCAGATAATTTACCCTTGAGGTGGGGGTTCTTCATGTGTACTTGAATCATTTTTGTCACCTGTTGTCAGCCTTTTATTAAAGAAAAACAGAACAGATCGAGATTAGGTCTTTCTCCCTGCAGAAAGTTGTTTCTTGAGATGGATCAGGCATCAAATGTACAGCTAGTGGGCAGGATCTGGCCCTCAACAGTTCTTTATGGCTGGACAACTTGCCCTTGCATCCAGCCCACAGGACTTCCTGGCACAGCTGCTAGAGCTGCTATGCCAGTGCAGGCAGCAACCAAGGGATAAATGCCACTTGCCCCCCCTACCCATCACAGAATTGCTGCTTAGGGTACTCACTCAGCTGGATCCAGAGGTAGATTGTCCAGCCACCAAGAAGGCCCACTGTCCAGATCAGCCCTCCAGTGCAAATAAGTTTGACATCCCTGTTCTAGATCATCCTTTATAAGTACTCTCCCCTCTGATGGGACTGTTTCTCCCAGTTCTTGGATGACTCCCGTATGCAAGGGCTGTCTAACTAGTTACCTCCCTTGGGCTCCCACTCGACCAGCACTCCCTGCATTTTTCCTGCTGGTGTGGCAGCAAGAGTCTCTGGGGCAGGGCAGCATGATGGAAGGACAACTGGTTAGCCAGCCTGATGCTGCCCAGTGAGTGGGGGGCAGGAATCGTGCTGTTTGTGTGGTGAGGTGTCCATGTAATGGCGGAGGGGGATGCGTGTGCTATTCCTGGCTACCCAAAAGTTAAACATATACTATATACCTATCATGTACTATGGAAGTTACAAAGAGTGGCAGTGTAAGAAAGAGAAAACAAAGCCTTTTGTATCTTGATGACATAATACAACTCAGTTTAGAGTTCAGTTAAAGGATCTTCTAAATCTTATGTTTAATTTTTCTCCATACAGAAATGCCTTGCCTTGCAGAGTATAGTGATGGCTTATGGTATAGAGCAAAACTTCTTTCTATTAAAGATTTTGACCCTGTTACTATTCTGATTCAGTTTATTGACTATGGATCAACTAAAAAACTACCAACAAGCAGGTAAACACAGAGTATTTATATTTTTAACTTCTGTTCAAACACAAGCATCTTGTCTAAGTTGGATTTAATATTAACATTAAGCATTTCCTATCTGTGTGTCCATCTGTCTTGGGAACATATATAGTCCGCTTTATTGAGGTATCTGAATACCTCACATTCTGTATTCTTACAGCGCCCATAGAGGGAGGATTGTGCTTTTATCCCCACTTTATGCACGGGGAATTGAGATGCTGAGGTGCTACGGCCTGGATCCACAGAGTATTTAGGGGTTTAAACCATATCTTTACACATCTAAATCCATTGTGCAGCTGCCATTGACACTTACAAAACAATGATTAGCCGTAACTAAGTCGTAGACACAAATTTAGCTTCCATCCATTAGCATATGTAAGGCAGCTTTAGTTGACATTACCACGCTAGCCCTAGTTCAAGATGACGCTTCAGAAGCTGAAAAGTACAAAGTGTGACTTCCCTGCCTCCCCCTCCCCTCCAATTAAATGTTCCATCTTTGCCAGCAAGGCCCAAGCTGAAACCAGATGCAGCCTGCACAAAGGACAGCTTGTGGGGTAGGGTGAGTAAGAACAGAGCCATCCCTAGGGGTGTGCGGGGCCTGGGGCATATCAGCCTGTGTGGGGCCCAGGGAGGGGAAGGGAGGGGTGGCAAGCAGCGGTGCATGGCAGCTGCAGCAGGGCCTGTACAGCACTGTCTGCAGGGCCGGGGTCAGTTGCCCTGATTCACGCCCCCCACCCCCACCCCAGGACAGCCCTGGGTAAGAATGTCTGTCCCTACCAGTGCTTAGGGCACTCATCTGGGATGTGGGAGATGTGGATTGAAATACCTGCCCTGCCCAATTTGGAACAGGGACTTGAACCCACTTCTTCCACAGCTCAGGTAAGTGCCCTGACCACCAGACTTACCAGCATTCTGTGGTGGGTCTCTCTCATTCTCTCCCATTTTTAGGGTTGTTCCATTGTGTAGTAAGTTTTTTATTTTGAGTTGGAGACAGACCAACTGTAGCCTAGGGCATCCATACACATGCTCTGGGGTACAGGGGCATGTGCTTTAATTGTGTGGCTCCAAGAGGTATTCTAATTAAAGCACCTGCAGCGTCACTTGTATTCAGCATCCATGCTTCAAAATGGTGGCAGGGCGCTTAAACTAAAGCTCATTCAACTGCTAGAGGCTTTTGGAGTACATTAATTAACACAGTCCAGCAGACTCAGTCAAATCTGCTCCAACATATGCTAATTAGCACACGTTAGAGCAGCCATCCAGCATGTGTATAGGTACCCCTAGTGCTTAAGATGGTCATCTGAGATGGGGAATCAAACTGGCACAAGAGATTTGAACCACATCCCAGGTGAGAGACCTAACCATTAGGTGGTTAGGATCTCCCTCAACACCCTCCTTTCTTTCTGGGAAGAAGGCAGTCAGACTAATGTAGGATTCATGATTGTGGATCCTGAGTGAAGAGATGCCTCTCCTAGCTACAGGTAAGTGCCACTCCTTATCCAGACACAGCAGGTTAGGAGCCTGTACCACACTCTCATCCCATGTTGGGTTTTGGGGGGTTCTGTTTTTTGGTCCTTGGTTCCAAGTTAAGTGATTTCTCGAGATCTCTTCTGTAGATGCTGGACTCTATTTATACACTGTAGGGGAAGCCAAGTATGATTAGATACTGCAGTGCTGAAGTACTTTGGAGACTCTAGGCCTAAGTGACATGTCCAGCATCCCATAAATTGTCCATTGGAAAGCATGGTCTGTAACTATGAACTCACATCTCCAAGGCTGTAACCTAGTTCCATAAACATTAGCACATTCTCTGTATCCTTCAGTAACACCTTTCAGTTGTAGATGTTGAAAAACTACCATCTTCCATTTCATAGACAAATGTTTTCATTTTGCTGTAGATTACGTCAGATTCCTCCTGCTCTTATGCAATATCCAGCTCAAGCAGTGAAAGCTCTGTTGGCTGGATTTAAACCTCCTTTGCATGATACAGAGAAAGTGAGAATTCCGTATTGCCCAGAGTGGAGCATGGAAGCATTGTGGGCAATGGTAGACTGTGTTCAAGGAAAAAAGCTCTTTGCTTCCACGTTGGTGAGTTGTGATGGTGGGGGCGGGGTCTCCTGCCCTTTAGTGCCTGTCAGACACAAGTGATTTTCTTGTTAACATTTTCTGCAGTGAGTGTGAATGTTATAAAAATATTTTTATTGTGACCTTTATTCTGTTAACATGGATCTATACACTATTCAATACTGAAATAATTTTGCAAAACTTAATCATATGACAGAGTGCCCAAGCCTTCTTGTCTGAATGACTTCATTGTTGTGCTTTCCACTAAAACCTAGTATTCTTGCTTCTGTGTTTCACATTCCCGTATGGGCCAGTAGTAGAGTGCCACAAATGAACACAAGGGTTGTAATCACTAATGGCTACCACATCCTTTCCCTGCTTTCCCTTGGCATCTTCTGTTGCCTCTTAAGGTTTCTCCTCTTCATCCACCATGGCATTCAGACTTGCAAAGTGAAAATCATTCACACACATCATAGGGAGTCTAAGGGATGCTAGAGAAGATGCACAATAAAATGTTAGAGGGCCTTATGCTTGCTTGCTCATGTTTCAGTTTCAGTCCATTGAGTTAGACACTTGGGTACTTGCTCAGGCTTCCTATTTGCTCTGTTTTCCTCCCTGCATCCACCTGCTTCATGGCACCTTCACATTGCTGACCTTCTGCACTCTGGAACCACTTCTGTATGTGTTCAAAATTTCTGTGCATTGTTGATCAGCATTAAGGACATTTGCCAATTCTTACGATTAACCCAATTTGTGAAATTTTAGGGTAATGGGTATTTGTATAAATCAGCCTTGTCTCATCTGTATTTTTAAGATCAAGCTATAAAGCTCTTGCTGTATAGTGTTGCTTGAATTATTGCAGAAACAATACTATGTCTTTTAACATCAGAATTATACATTTATTTAGTGCATATAAACTATTAACCCTAACTTGCAAATGTGAAACTCATGCTTGTCCAATCACCAATCTCAGTCCAATTACTTAAAATATTTCCTTTCAAAATACTGTAAGCTTCATCATGCACATTAAGCATTATATTTTTAAAAATAATTTGTAAAATAGAACCATAGAAAATTAGGGTTGGAAGGAACCCGAGGAGGTTATCTAGTCCAACCCCCTGCTCAAAGCAGGATTGTCCCCAACTGAATCGTCCTGGCCAAAGTTTGTCTAGCCAGGTCTTAAAAATCTTCAGGGATGGAGATTCCACAACCTCTCTGGGTAACCTGTTCCCAAGTTGTACTGCCCTTGTAGTGAGAAAATTCTTCCTAATATCTAACCTAAACTTCCCTTGCTGCAACTTGACACTGTTGCTCCTTGTTCTTGTCATCTGCCACACCGAAAACAATCTAGCTCCGTCCTCTTTTGAATCTCCCTTCAGGTAGTTGAAGGCTGCTATTAAATCCCCTCTCAGTCTTCTCTTCTCCAAACTAAATAAGCCCAGTTCCCTCAGCCTCTCCTCATAAGTCATGTGCCCCAGTCCTCGGAAGATACAAACCTTTCAGTTCACTGTAGTTCATTTATCACTATTTCATGTTCTTCAGATCAACAGAGTACCTAATGAAAATTCCTTTTAAGTGCAGCATCATTGCTCTTCTTTCTACTCGTGCAGTTAATTTAATGCTTCACTTATTCCTGTTACCTTGTTTTTCTTAACCTTCAGCCCACTGATGGCTCATGTGCCTTTTAGATCTCATCTTTTTTAGACTGTGACAGGCATTGTCACTGTTATATGCAGCATGTAGCAGAAAGGAGTCCCAACCTGGTTGGAACATTAGGTATTGCTGCAATGCAGAAAAATAATCGTAGTGTTTAATCAGTTTTTACTATTTGAAACCATTCCTGTATTTCTTAAAGCTGCATGCATTTCTGATTTCCAGACTTCGTCACCAGAGTTCACCATTTTCTTGTACAATAATGAGCAAAAATTAGTTCACTTGAAGCTGATAGAAATGGGACTTGCAGACCTATATGAGTGACATGTAAGTATATATGATGGTTGTTACAAAGCAGGACTATAGAAGGTAGGACTTGCACACTTATTTATTTATTTATTATTAGTGTTATGTTGTACCCTCGCTGAAAAACTCAGAGCAGCTTACAATAAACAGCCAGAGGATTCTTCCAATAACATACCAAAATCTGAAAACACAAACTGCCCCCCCTTGAGCCCAACCACTGGCTCCGTTCCCAAACCCCCACACAAGCAAACCTTTCTGCCAATTCCAACCACACCTCCCAATCATCCCTCCCATCCAGGTACAAAAAATCTTTTTCCACCCTACCTATCCACTCCCCTCACCCTGCTTCAGTCACAGGGAAGATTAGAACTGGCCAGGTTTGTTTATCTCTTCGCAGCCTTTCGGATGCTAATGTAGTGACTTTTTTTTTAAATACTTTTTTTTAAGTTGAGTATGTACAGGAGAGTATGCATAGCAGGAAAACAATCACTACAACCTGTCTGGTACAGCAGCCGGCAGCCTTTTATAGGCTGTAGGCCAGAGTGATGCAGTTCAGGTCAGAGGAAGCCCAGCCACTTTTACTCCCCCTATAGCACTGTGGGCCACTGCTGTTGAAGCCCCTTACCCCTGAAGGCTGCCAAAGTCCCATGTCCACCATAGATTGCTGACTACTAGTCTAGTATCATCTGTATGATCAGATCCTACCCTTACAACTTCTGCACTCTATTCTGACTCTTTCTAAAAGCAGCAGTTTATGTTCTGAGAAACCAATCCTGGTTTTTGCTTAAACCAGAGTTTCAGGTCTAGTGCGAGTGCCAGCAAGGACTGGAGAAACAGTTAAATCCCTTCCCTGTTTGCAGAGCTTGAATATGTAAGGACTGTTTATGCTGGTAATTGCTGAAGTAGGCGAAATTGCAATTGACTGGTAATCTGCAACGAATTATCCTTAATGTTTGTATATATTGTACTAGTGAGAACCAATTGCTTCCTTCACTATAACCACTTCGCCTCCCATATATACCAGGGGTGGCCACATGGTCCAGTCACCCCCACAAATGCTGGAATAGTATTCCTAAACCATCCCAGACCAGTGCAATCCCAGCTGCAAGAACAAATGTTTTCCTTAGGATGATGCAGCAGGTTTTCAAACACTATTCTAGAAAATGTCTGCTTCTAAAGGGGTTTTTCTCTGAACCCCAGGGAAGTTCATTGAGTTATACTGCGTATTCATATGAGCCCATGATGAATACATTTCTTGTTTTATGTTTGGTGCCATTTAAGGGGGTCTGTGATAAGTGGTCCATTTATGATTTAAGGTGGTCTATGATAGAAGATGCCTCCTAATTTTAACACTTTTTTTTTTTGTTTCAGATTTGCTGTATTAAAGAACTTTTGCTGAAGACCTCACTAACAGAGGAATAAAGTTTTGTTTGTATTTGTTCTGGCATTTTTGCTTAGTTTAGTACATTCTGAGTGCAACAGTTGTGCACAATACCTGGAATATTTAGGTGTGTCTGGTTCAGTTATTTGCAGAAGTTTGGGAAGGATGTTAAAATAAATATTTCTTTTGTTCAAAATGCATCTGAGATTTTGTTTTTTCCTCAAACCTGCACAAGTCATCAGTCCTGCAGTGTGTTTTCAATGAACCACCATCATCCATCTGGAGTTCAACAAAGTAGGAAACAACCCAAGGTAGCTGAAAAAAGCAGGAGCATCTCCTAAGAGGGTCTTGCCCTTCCTCCTAATGGATGAAAAGTATTGCATAAGTTTTATATGCCAATCAGTGGGGCTCAGGTAAGCTATTACCCCCTCTGCACCTTGGGAAGTAGTTAGTTTAAACCCTGTCCTTTCAACCTGAACTCCCTCTAAGACTTGGATAACAGGCACTTTTCCCAATGCAGTGAAAAATACAACAGGAGACCAGCCTGACTAAACTGGTCTCTTCAATGAGTTGAAACTCAAGAAGGAAATCATACAAAAAGTAGAAACTTAGTCATGTTGCTAGGGAAGAGTGTGTGTCACATGAGCAGGCAGGGAGAAAAATCAAGAGGCCACAGCTTGATTTCAGGCACAGCTGGCAGGGGACATAAAAGACAATAAAAAGGGATTCTATATAAATGTTGTAAGTGACAGAAATCAAAGAAACTGTAGGCCCCTTATGGAATCAAAAGGTGGTATAGTTACAGATGAGGCATTTATTTAATGCATTTTTACTTCAGTCTTTACAAATGATAAGAAAAGGCAAACAGCCTAAAGTAGTGGAAGAAAAGGTTAGGGATTACTTAGAGGTGCTTTCAAGGCTATGGTCTGGACAAATGAGATGAGCTGCTAAATTATACAAACTATGATAAATCTCAAGGGGGAGTGGATACAAGTGATTGGTAACTGACATTCAATACATACAAGCTTTGAGTCCAGCATGAAGATTAAAGATTGTCTGTATGGATCCACTGCTGGTGCTTGCTTCCTAGTATGAGGTGTGATCCATTCCTAAGCAGACACTAGTCCCTCTGTATGCATATTTCACAGAAGAACAGGGTAGACACAGTAGGTTAAAAAAAACAGTCTTTTAAAAAGTGCCTTCTATCTCTGTGTCAAGTAAGAACAGAGATTGGGGTGGGGGTTGAGAAGATGACGACTTGTAAAGTGTTTTGAAATAATTTAGTGATTCAGAATTGGACAGAGATGGGGGCAGGTGGGGAGCACAACAAAGCAGTTCTGTTCCTTGTGCCTCAGCCCTGAAGATCACTAAGCACCCAGGCAGCCCCTGATGGGGGAAAGCAAAGTACTATGGGATGCTGGGGGCTTGAGAGAGCCCCTATAGTACTACAGTGCCTTGTACACAGAGTACCTGTGGTGCCACAAGAGGCAGCATTCCAGAGAAGTACCTGTTTCATCCAGGAACATTTTTGTGCCATTTTTGTAGAGCTACAAACATGATGTCTGTCTGTGGCCTCAGTGTACCCTTCCACCACAGCCCATTCTGAGGGAGCTTTCACCAAGGAAGCAGCCAATATTGCTGCCACAGTCCTTGGACAAGGAGGTAAGTGCTTGCTTCCTTCTCCCCTGCTGGGTGTCAATATTTTAGTTAGGTACTATGGGATAGCAAAGGCTTATCTTTAAAAGGGCAAAAAAGAACCTGAGAAACAGACCAGTCAGCCTGACTTCCATACCTTGGGAAATTACCAGAGCAAATTTTAAAAAGTCAATTTGTAAATACCTGGAAAGGGAAAGGCTGATCACTACCCACTTTTATTAACAACAAATTATACCAAACAAACTGGATTTCCCTCCTTGACAAAGGTAACTCATTTGAGGAATGCAGTGGACATAATATACTTGGGACTTTAGTAAGGCTTCTGATGTAGTCCATATGACAACTGAGAGGGGTTGTAAACAGCTGGGAAAACAGAATTTAAAAGGATCTTGCTAGACTGGAGAACTGGGCTAGAGGCAACAGAATGAAATTCAGCAATGACAAATGTAAGGAGCAATATCTAAGGAAGAAAAACCAAATGCACAAATACACATTGGGGCTAGACAGCTGATTGGGTAGCAGTATTGCTAAGTAGTACCTGGGGTTATGGTGGATATCAGACTCAACATAAGTAAGCAATGTGGAACAGCTGCACAAAAAAGTGAAATCTTGGGAGGCCTTATCACTAGACTTGTTAGGACAGGAGTAAGGTGATAACACCTGTACGCTTTGCTGGAGTATAGATTAACACAACCATAGATCAATGCATGTATAAGTCACAGATCCTACTACTAGCATGAACCAAAGTAGGCCTCACTGAAACAATGCTAGGCATACTGTATATGGGTTGAACAGAAGTGTTGGAAACGTAGCTTGCTAGTTTCAGAAGTGCTTCTACGGCCAACAGATAAAATGAATTAGTACAGGACCCCCAAAGCAACAATCAATGTGACCTGGCACATAGGCATCTGCATCTGATGAGAAGATTGCACTAATTGGTGAGAAATAGGATGTGGATGCAGTAACCCAGAGGTATTTGGGTAATGGTTGAGGTGTGTAAACATTTAAGTTGTTTTGACTGGTGTATAAAAAGGGGCCTTGGAATACTTTGTACTGGACTTGGGCATTGTTTAGGCATGAACATAACCCCTACAAATGACACAGCTAGTACCATGGATTAGTCACTAGGCTTGTTTAAGTGAACTCATGTTCACAAAAGCTTGTGGTCAATTCATCTTATTGAGTTTGTAAGGTGCATCTCTACCCTGCCTTCGGCCTGACTTCAGACTAACTGTTAACTCCCTCTTCCCATGATAAAATTTGGCCAGGCTTCTTGATACCAAAACCTGCAGCCTGTTTCTTGTAACAGTGAAGTCATTAGGGGCACACCACCACACACAGTATCCTGACAGTGTGTGCACAGTCCATCCAAACTGAGGGAACACGGTAATGACTAGTAACATCCTGCCTCTGAAAAACACTAGTAGAATCAAATAACAATAGCGGCAGAGTCCACACTGACAACCCTGGTGCAGCCCTAGAGTCTTACAGCACAGTTCTACTCAGCCTGGGTTAGAGCTCTGCTAGAGAGCTGCACTTCTGGGCTCTGTAATATAAAGGAGTTAGAATGTAAACTGTATGAAGAAAGGCTGACAGCTAGATAAGTTTAGTTTGGTGAAAAGGAGATTAAGCAGTCTTCAAAACATTTGAAATGCTCATAAAGAGGGAAAACAATTGCAGTGTGTTTAGCAAAGCAGATTTAGATCAAATACTAATAGTATAGGGGATTGTGCAAAGGATTGACCCAGGTGACCCTGAGGCCCCTTCCACCCTGGTTTCATTTAAGCATTCATTCTCTACTACCACACTGAATACACCTGCTGTTCAGAGGAAGGTATTGAGGTAGGAGGCATGTAAATTGCCCACACATGGAGCTTAAGTATGTTTAGCTTCTACTTCTGCCTCATGTTTCTCTTCCAAGCCAACTAATTCTGCTACCTCCTAGCTGCTCAAAATGAACAGAAAAGCAAAAGAAAATAGTTCTTATACATCAATGCATTTACTCAGTTTAGCCTTGAAAGTATTTGCACAATTTGTATTCCACAACTGAAGAGAAATAGCACCACAGACCCTTGTAGACTACTCAACTTGGTCTTGCAGCATTGTATGCAGCTTGTTTATTGTTAGTCAGGAGTCCTTGTACCAAACATATTAGCTGTAGTTTTAGACAACGGCAACAGATTCCCAAGGTTTCCTTAACATTTTGGTGTAAGCTTGGAATCATTTTTGCCCTTACCTACAGCCACAAAATGTAAATTCTCAACTACATGTAATATGTAGATACTACATGAAAGAGGGTTTAGGAATGGCTACTTAATATCTAAAAAGTAGACTGAAGTTTGTCAAAGCAATCAAGACAAGCATGCCATTTCACCACTTCAAAATAAATTTATTTTAGATAAACAATGAACAATATTTACATAAAGCAACTCAAGGGGGGGGGTTCTCTCTCCAGAAACACACACTTCTATGTTCTTACAGCTATGTTTGCATAAATAAATAAAATTCGTTAGATTCATTTTTGTCATGACTTTGTGTCCATTATTATATTGCCATCCTTGTCCTTAACTCTGATTCTCCCACAGACATATTTTGTTTCCTGGCGGCCATCAGCATACACAGTTTTGACAGTGCCATCTGGATATTCCCGTCTCTTGAATTCCAGCGTGTGCAGTTCTCTCTGACCATTATTAAATTCTATAGTTTTGCTTCCATCTCTGTATTAAAAAGTTCACACAGGTATAAAATATATGAAGGTCACCGTACACTGACAGACAAATGTAGAACTAGCAACATGAGTTCAGGTAGGAATGTAACGTGTCCAAAAGATCCAGAAATTTTTAAGGAGGATGATGATTGCAGGAAATAGATAACTTTATTTCAGAATGTTAAAAATGTAGAATGTGTTGCAGGCAAATGTCTTAAGACAAATATCACATTAGCTAATCAATACATTTGCACAGTTTTAAGCAATGCTAAAAATATACTGAATTTTAAAAAAAAGTTGAAGTGTGCCATCTTACCAAAGCAGACAAACATAAAGATCCTTAGCATACAAGGAAAAAGCAATCACCAGAAACATGAAGGTTTTGAGAGCTGAGTCTCAGTTTAGTTCAGGGGTCGGCAACCCCTGGCGCACATGCTGAGCATGGCACGCCGCAGCTCCAGGAACCTGCTGCCAGCAACAGAGCCTGGGCTGCTCAGAGCAGGGCCTGCAGGTCCCAGCTTCCTGCTGGGAGCAGCCTGGGATTCCAGCACAGCTGTTTGTAGCCAGCTCACTGCTGCAGCCAGAACCCGGGCTGGCTACAAACAGCTGCACCAGGCTCAGCACCTCCGTGCCAGGAGCAGGGGAGAGACTGGGGCTGTGCTGCCTCAGGCCCCGCCCCCACCACCCACTCCAAGGCGCACTTGCTCGCACTGGTGCGAAGCTGGTGCCAGATCCCAGGCTGCTCCCAGCAGGCAGCTGCAAGCCCTGCTCGGAGCAGCCTGGACTCCAGCAGCTACCCAGAGCCGGGGTAGCTGCTGGCAGCCACAGAGCCTGG